CAAAACTCATCAGCCAGTTTGAAAGGCATGTTGTCTTTATGAAATGCCAAAATTACACCAATTATGAGAACCTGGAAACGTGTAACACCAGACTGGATCTTTGGAGTTTGAAGTCTCTGACAGTGCTTGAATTAGGAATCAGTGAAGCGCCGTTCTGTTGTGACTCAGTCCGCCTGCTACGGGCCAACGACGGTCAAGCAGCTTTGTTAGACGTAGTCACAGAAAAATCCCTTTCAGATCAACTACTGCAGTCTAGAAAAAAGTTTTCAAGAACAAGTTTCCAAACAGTCTGATATGAAAGATGTTTATTTAACACAGAAGCTGCACAAAGAATCAGGATTTAACTGAACGATGCTGCTTATATACCGATGCAAACTTCTCCCAAACTCTCCTCCTTCCCCTGGAAACAGCCACAACCCATTCATTTTAAAAGCCAATCAGAACATCCTGGTCACCATTACATTTGAATTTATTAATATCTGAGGGTGTGTGATCTAAACATGGCGAGTGTTTTCTCCTCCTCTTCTTCTCTTGACCATTCCTCTCCATCCCGACACCATCTCTTATGCTTGCAAGGCCATCGTGACCTTGATTTCAACTCACAAATGCAGATGGAGAGCTTCTGCTTCACGCTCGGTCTGGAAATTCAACCAAAACTGCATGTCTTGTGTAAAATAAAAACCATTTGCTTGAACCTGAAACATCTGCCTTCCTCCCCTAAGAAGCCGCTCACCTGTGACCAACAGTCATGTGACATAAAGTCTGTCAGTTTTCAGCTTCACTGCAGATAGCAGAAGTATGAAGCTAATGAAAAATGTAAGCATTAAAATATTAATTTCATGTGAAAAGCAGCCACTTCTCCCAGTAATGGTAACACATGTGGGGAAAAGTTGTACATGTCGATTCCAGTTTTTTTCATTTTTTGTAAAACAGATAATCACAGAAATTCTAATTTCATTTTTGTTTATGATTTATGGCATTACAACTACAATTTGTGTATCCTTGTACTTCTGGCCATTGCCGTGCTGCTTCCATCGAGGTGTAGGACTTTATGTTGCAGTGAAAAATAAGCTCACGGTGAGTAAAAGTTTGACAGGAGTGAATAAAAAGTTCAATGTGAGGTTTTACCTTCCAATCGGGACCCAGGAAGAACTCAACAGGCTCCTCCCCGGTCAGCGGGTCGGGCGGCACCTCGGCGTCGGGCTGCGCTACGAAGGGCGTGAGCACCCTCAGTGACGAGTGCTGGTACTGCAACATGCAACCCCGGCCCTTCCTCATCTCCTCCTCTTCCTCGCTGTCCCACGTAGATCTGACAATTAAAGCAGAGTCGGTCACATGCTTCATGCTGAGGGTTAAACAGGGTGGCACAACTTTAAAAAACAAAAACCTGTTTACTGATTGTGAAGCTACAGCCAGCAGGCAGGTAGCGTAGCTTAGCACAAGGACTGTGAGCAGTATACATATTTCATGTTTTGTTTGTTTAATCCGCACAAGAGCTAAAAAATTACATTTGCTGAGGTTATTTGTAGCATTTGTAGCACTCCCGGACAGACCGGCGCATAATTACTGTTTTTCCCAACCTTCGGACTGATCCGGGCCGGCTATCTCTCCTTGCCGCCAGTATTTTGCATACAATGATGCTACAAAATGATTCAGTTAATCTGCAATGTGAACTGCCGGCCAACTGAAGGAGAAAAAAAAAAAATCAGTGGAGAGCTGCGGTTGTTGCTGCTGCAGAGGCACAACGCATGCTGGGTGACCTTTACTTCTAAATGAATTTAAGTTAAATTAACCAGGATCCCACGGCTGAGTGGTTTGTTTGTGGGTGATTGAGGTTAAGCTGGGAACCATCCTCAAACCCCTCAGCAATGATCATATAATTATCATACACACAGCTGGTCGGCCACGCGCCGCACCACAGGTGTGCTGGAGGCTTGGTGGATATGTTTTTTACACTGCAGGCAGAAAGCGCCTGTCAAGAGCAAATAAACATCATTCTTATATAGCCTAAGGTCAGAGCTTAACACGTGATGGAAATGCTGCTTGAATTAAATCGGCGCGATTCAACACCAGACAGCAAAAAGCAGCTGAATTCTGCTGTCATGGGAGGTTATCAATACCGCACAGGCCTTCCACCTGCAGCAGATAAACACCTCTGGGTCACATCAATGTATTTGTCTGATCCTTGATTTGATTTAAAGAGTGTTTAAAATTACAGCTTTTATCGTGTCTGTGATTTGCTTAATTGCTCTTTTTTTCAAAAATCAAACTTCCAAAAACACTTGAACACAAATAAAAAACTTTCTATGTTTAGTTCCTTCGCCGTGGTTACTCCACTTTTCAATTAGCCCTTCAACAACCCTTGAGCCATCGTGCCTTTTACGGGGTTGCCAGGGCGCTAATTAGCATCATTGAATGCTATTATTACAAGTGTTAATTAAACTGTATTACTGTTAACTGATTACAAGTCTTACAGTCCAGAGAATAAAAAAAAAACATGCAGAGACGAGGATCCCTCATGAATATGCACGGCTTTTAAGCAGGCTTTCAATAAATACATTTTTTTAAAAGATGTAAACAGAGTTGAAGTGTAAAACCAGATGTCAGGCTGTGATGCTCTCCCTCTGCCACACTAACACACAAATCTGCACTCGTTTATCGTCAAGTCTGTACAATCACGATCAAAACATCCTGACCTTGTGTCTGCCTATTGAACGTTTTGGGGAAATGACAGCCCATCAGTCGGCCGTCATCGCAAATATCGAGCGGGAAATAATGACTTTACTGTAAGTATTGAGTGAAATCCCACTAACCTTTGCCTCCGGGGCAACTGTGCCGCCTCCACACTGCCCTGCCCACTAATGCACCCAACGCACACGTTGTTACTGACAACATATATACTGTATTAGAGCTCAGGAAACAGGAACAGTGTCAGAAAAACCTAATTATTAAGTTTGCGAACCTGTATTTTTGCTTGTAGCGTCTTCACTGAATCATTAATCAGCTGCCGAAGTAGGAAAACACACCGCTCACGAACATGTAAGAAATGGAGAAACGCTACAAATCGAGAGGCGCGTCGGTGAAAAATGATTTGAATTCACTTCCTCTGCCTGAATCTGCTCAGAAGTCGCAGATGAGGCCTTGAAAACGTCCGTTGACACTTTTGGCTTCGCAAAGAGCAATAAAAAGAAATTTGTTTGGCACGCTATAGCCTGATGTAATATTAACTCAGATCTATAGGGGTAAAGGAAGGGCGGTGGTTAGCTTTGCAAACATAAAGTCAAGATTTGGTCGCCTTGATGTTTGGTAAACACTCAGCTCTGTGCATCGGTCTTGGATGAAAAATGTCACGACAGGACGCAGAAAGTATTGGCTTTGCACCAGTTTTTCTGGTATACATCTCCCACTACCCTGACTTTAACGAGGCAACAGCACCGCATTGCATTTCTGTCTCAATTAGCTGCGTGCTTGAAAATGTTTTCTTTTTTGCATCCTCGTGCGTAATCAAGGCAACAGGACCTCCAGCAACAGCAGATGTGCGGCAGCTGGTCAGGCCTCACCTCCTGTTGCCGGTAGTAACAGGAACTCTCCAGCCTTTGATCTGGCTGAGCTCGGGGTCGGCCACGTCGATGAACAAGGGCAGGCGGGGCATCCACACGCTCATCTCCAGCTGGGCGCTCAGGAAGCCGTAAGTAAAGTTGAGCGTCACCCTGCTTTTCCCTCGCGCCTCCTTGCCGTTTACGTACACGTAGTCGCAGCGATCTGACACCTGGCGAGAAGAAAAAAACGAGGATGGAGGACTCAAATAAAAACTCATTGCATTCCTTTTATTTCCCCCCATCAGCCTCTATAAATATCTTCATTATAGGTGTTAAAATGATATTAAAACATCCACCTGACACCTGGGACCGAACTGTCTTCTAATGAATTGTACACCGCTGGAGTTTTTTCGTCTTCATGTAAAGCTTATTCAACCTGAATAGGAAAGTTTTTTGCAAGGATGAACAATGACAGGAGATGAGGAACCATTTCAAACAAACTAAAACCACACACACACACAAGCAAAGACACATTTAAATAAAAAAATTATATTAAACTCAAAGTCTGTCCAAGGAATCGCAGCGTGTTTGTGTTTGTGTCATGTAAATTCACGACTGTGGTCTCTATGAAACTGTTACCGAATGTAAATTAGCTCCGGCTCACGCCCGCTTCCTGTAGCGCCGTACTGTAGGTGGGAGTGCTGCAGTCCCCCACCGGCGGGAGCAATGAGGTGAGACACAGCAGTCGGTGTGTTTTATTTAAGATTGGAGGCCTATCTCCACCGCCGCCTCACTTATCTTAACAAACCAGTGGCTCCACAGAGGTAATTGGAGAGCACTAGACTGGAGAATAGAGTGTAGCACTGGAAAGAGGGGAGGTGAAAGGGAGGGAGGGGAGGAATGACTTCTGAGGCAAGTGAAGCCGAACTCCCCTGGAAATGTTGACGGAGCCCAGCCTCTGAAGACCCTTTCCCCCATCACGCCGACCGACCGACCGACCGGCCGGCCTCTGATGTCTTGTGCAGCTCTGCATCCGCTTTAAGGTCAGCAGCCGCTCCAGAAATAACCTCTTTAAGCGCTCCCTTGTTTTGCAAAAAAATGATGAAACAGGTTGAAAAAACTATTTCTTTTTTTTTCTTACTGGCAATCTTTATCGTGCGATTTCATTATTTTGAAGCTTAAGCACATCCTCCCGGTCTGCAAACACCTCTGCGGATCGAGGATGCTGCATCTTAAAATACCCGTGGCTAATAGCGGCGGGTTTTTTGCGTGTTTCGGCCTATCAAGTGTGCTTTACATCACGGCTAGTTTATCAGCCGTTCCCAGCCCTCTGTTGTTCTCCTTTTATTTCTGTTCAATATGAAGCTCAGCGGGGTGCCCGAGCATGTTTGGAATGTGTAATCCTGGAACATTTTAACTGTGCAAATTGTTGCCAAACTAATATTGTTAATAGAAAACGCTGAGCGGACTTTTGAAAGTTTTGCAGACTTGAAGAAAACAATTTTAGACGCACATGTATATATATAGAGAGAGAGATGTACAAAGTCTCTAAAAGTAGTTTTCTAAATTCTGTTTGAAGAGGCGCATCTGTACGACACAAAGAGAAAAAGGAAGTTGCAGGAGTTTGATAGAAAGGAATGGAGGGCAATGGTTGCATGATTGGATGGAGTGCACATAAACCTCCATCCATCATCTATACACCGCTTAATCCTCATGAGGGTCACGGGGGGATGGAGTCTATCCCAGCCAACTCAGGGCGAAGGCAGGTTCACCTGGACAGGTAACCAGTCTATCACAGGGCTACACTTAGAGACAGACAACCAAGCACACTCACATTCACACCTATGGACAATTTAGAACACCAATTAACCTCAGCATGTTTCTGGACTGTGGGAGGAAGCCGGAGAACCCGGAGAGAACCCACGCTGCACGGGGAGAACATGGAGACTCCACGCAGAAAGATTCCGGTGCCCCCACCGGGACGCAAACCGGCAACCTTCTTGCTGCGAGGCAACAGTGCTAACCACTGCTCCACCCTGCAGTCCGCACACAAACCTGCATCAATCTACTGAAATACAGGTCAACAGGTCATGAAATTAGGTTCGGCGGTTCTGGTGTAATCTTGCGTTAAAAGGGTCCAAACTTGCAAACACACCTTGATTCTTTAACTCTCAGCCTTATGTGAGCTAAATCTAAAAGTTTCTGCGCTGCACATGACCGGATCCCTGATAAAGCTTCAGCCTGTGGCAGTTTTGAGCTGCATTAAACTGTGTTTTCAGGCTTTAACTTCACCTGGCTTGTGGGCTTTGCTCTAAAAAAAGGGGGTCAGAGACGGCAGGAAGCATAAGAGACCATTCAGAGACACAATAATAACTGGATTAAGTTCCTCTACCGATACAGAAAATCATTACAAACACACTCTCCCTCTCCTCGCCTCTTTTCTCACTCTCTTAAGCTCGCACACTTTAAACACTCTGACTTACACTCACAAAGCCAGCGGCTGGCACGCCGTCTAATGGAAAATAATATAATTCCCTTTCTTCTCCTCTCCTCTTTTCTCGCTCTGTCTCTGCTCCTGCTGTCCTGGTAACGCCGATCCATTGCACAAAGGTCAAATCGCCGTGCTTTACGGACCGAGTGCTGGGATCAGAAGCTCAGCCTCCGATGCCACATTTTGAAGGAGCTGCTTTTATCCACAATGCTTCGCTACGCAGACTCGAGCCGGACCTGTTGAGCGCCGTGGCACGGTGACAGGCGGACGTCTTAGAGGCAGAATGAATCACGAATGAATGAGTTTTTTTTCCAGTATCTCTAAATTCAGTTTAATCACCCGTCAATCATGCTGCAGACTTTGTGTGCAAATGACTTCCATTCAGCTCGAACCGGCATTAAATAAACATGAAACAAACAACTGCTGCGATAGTTTTCCTTTTTCTTATCCCGCATAAAAGTTATTTTCATTTGTTCAGAACACATTAAGGGACTATATATTATTTATACGTGATGTGGAGCGTGTATCCAGAGCGTAATCACGACTACTACATCCACCGCAGCGCTTCAGATTAGTTTTTTTCATATTGCGCAGACATAAGGCGAATGCATTTTACAAGCAACATGAAAAGGATTACAGCAATCCAGGTTGTCGGCTTTCATTACTTACCTTGAGCACATCCTCCTCTGCGGACCTGCAGCTGGTGTAGTTGGTCACGTCGGTGACTGAGCCGTTGGCCTCCACAGCCAGAGTTTTCACCGGGACCGAAACCATTTTGCCCGTCAGCACAGCGGTGTTCAAGATGTCCGTGTTCTGCGCACAAAAGGAGGGCGCGCAAAGAGCAGAAGGTTAGCAGTCGGTACGCTCTCACGGGTTTATTTTGGGCTGTATGTACTAAATCCTTAAGCAGAGGTGCAGTTCAGTGTCGGCTGAAAGATTGGATAAGAAAATGATAGATTTCCCTCAAGATGAACGTCTGCTCTAACTTTCAATCTCAGCAGCCACAGCACTTCCAGGGCGAGTTCCAATAATAAGATTTCATTTTTCCTCTTTGTATTTAAAGGTGACCGTCTAAAGAGAGACAGAAAACAGGCACAGAAGAAGACTATATGTACCAAAGGTCCCCCCCAGCCCTGAATCACGCTGCAGTTATGTGGCGTGCATCTCAACCATGCAGCCGCCAGCCATCCCCTGGTAATATTTAATGCTAAGTTCCTGTGTGTGCGGAGTGTTTTAATGCCTTTAAGAGGAACTGCTGCTTCACCTGATCCAATAGATATCCTACGAAGGAATTAAGATACAGGCTAGCTGTGAGTGCAGTTTAAAAAACAGGCTTTTGGAGGGTTTATTGACCTCGTTAGGATGAAAGATATAGATAGAAAAACTCCCCATTACACACATTGTAGAGTCGTATGGGAGCTTGATGACAGGGCGTCAGACTACCAGCGATTAAAACACCAAAATTCAGCCTGACTATTATGATTTATTTAAATCCCCACTGACAGAACACTCAGACCGGACAGATGTGCTCAAAAAAAAAAAAAAAAACCAGTGTCACCGTGACGATAATAAATGTCTGTCTCGCTAACACACAGACACCTGGATGGAAATAAGTCCCTCGGTGTGTTGTATTATCCATAGATCAGCACTTCTAGTCCCGCTAACACCTAAACCTGATTACGTTTGTAATCTCCCCAACCCATTTTCTCCACCTTGTACCGAACATCTTTGTAAACGCTGAGCAGCAGCTAAGCTCCTACTCATCCCGTAACTTGCCATCAAGCTTGATGTAGCTCTAATTTTACACTTTAACTCCTCCTTCAACACGGATTTGCGACTACTTTCCAGTTTATAAGATCTCTGAAAATGTCTTTTTTTAAAGGTGCCGGCGTTATGTGTGCGTAAGAAGCTTTGGGTGATCAGTGTGTATGTGTGTGGGTTTTTTTTTTTTTTTTCCCGCCTCACACTTGTGAACTAAAGTACCAGGCGGCGCTCGGCAGATGTTCCCTGGCAGCTTCACATTTTGAACTCTGCAGGGCTTGACAGCTGCTGACCGCAATTCCAAAAGGACATGCTCCAGTTCGGCGCTACAACACTGACCCAAACATAAGCCACTGGATCAGGGGGGAAGCAGAAAATCAGAAAGCTATACCAGCACGACGCCGGAGCCGCGCCGAAAAGATCGTGACGGGCGATGAGTAATCTGGTTTGCAGCGATCGAGTTTGGGTCAAGCGGTTCAGCCACAGTTGAAATCTGCTTTAACTGCACATTACGGTTAACTTTGTTTGATCGTTTTCTTGTGAGTGAGCCTGAGAGGTAAATCCTTCAGAAGGTTACAGGTGAGGGAGACAAACGCTTCATGCAAATGCGGCACAGAAAGGTCAGAAAATCAAACGTACAATTTAATAATCTTTACGATTAACCCTTCTGCTGCGCGCCGTGACATTTGCCGAGTTCATTTTCCTGACGTCTGGATTCACAGATGTTTGCGATATTATTTGTTTTTCTACGAGAAAGGAGGCCAGGTCTGTTCACTCCGCTGTAACGACGGGAAAAAGGATTTTTTTTCCTCGTGTGAATCCTGTAAGTGACTGAGATGAAACATATTTGCTCCCAAATGGCTGTTTGATTCATGTTGACTATCACACCATGAAATAGACTAGTGAATCTCCTGTCAAGGTCAGATATGGATCCACCTTGTAATTTCTGGAAGGGTTTTTTTCTTTTTTTTTTATTCTTCCCCTCAAAATGTTTTCAGACGAATAAAACATAAGCTGCAGGGAGTCGGTTTCAGATTGAGGGAAAAACTAAATAAAAAAGATTGATGAGGAGAAATTATTTGCTTGACAACATGAAACTGAGATTTCTTTTTATTATTATTATTTTTTCTTTCCTAAAACCAAAACACAGTTGACAATTTGATGAATTCTATCGTTGGTGTGAGACGGCTTTCTGAAGACTTGCATTTTCTGCATCGTTACAGTAAAATATGCTGACGCTAATTAAAATGCTAATCACTGTGTCAATAGAACGTTGCAAATGAGCCGACGTTTCCTCACCAAGACTCTTGATGTCTGACTTTAAATGCTCTCGAATCCCAGAAAGAAAGAAAGAAAAAAAACTGTTTGTGTAAGTGCGACAAATGTGGTGTTTTCCTCCACAGCGCCGACGTTTTAACGGCGGCTTGTTTATGACGCAAACTCCCAGGTGATCTCATCTCGTCTTGCTTATTCATCAGGAAGTTAAGTATATGAAACTGCCTTTTTATTGCGGCAATGAATACCGACTTTACCGAGACGCGGCGAGCCAGGTGCGTGGCCCGATGTTCCTCCACGACAAAGCCAAGTGACCTGGCGCCGAGCCTTGTTTGGAACCTCTCTCTCTGTCTTTTAAAACCTCCTCTTTGGTCAATTATCGGGATTAATAAGAGTACGATAGAGAGAATAAATCATTTACTGTGCAGCCTATGAGGAACGCAGTGTTTCTAGATTGTATTCATGGGGGGAGACTCTTTATATATGGATGCAAATGACACAAAAAATACTGTGATTTTGCTACGCCGCCTTTTTTCTCACCATGACCAGAGGCGCCAGCCCCACGTAGTCCCTCTGGGTGGTGTGGATCCGCATCACGCCCACATCCTTGACGTTCCCGGGCAGCTCCAGACGCCAGGAGATGGTGTGACTCTCGGCCTGCTCCGAAACTTCATTTGGTACGAAGTCCAGCTGTAAAACCTCAAGAAGACCCCTGTGTGGAGATAAAAAACATGCAATGGTTAGACGAGTTAAAGCAAGCCCGGGTACATTCTGCTCAACAGGCATCACTGTTTTGTGAAGTTACTCAGTCCGTGAACTTTATTTATATACAGCGAGGGGGAGAGAGCTTTCCTAATAAAAGGTTTTCCAATATATCGGCTGCAAAAGCAGCTGAGGTGAGATGCAGCGTTCCATTGAGAAGAGATGTGAAAATGACAAAAGTAAGCCTGCGAAAATTAAAAAGATTGAAATTACTCTGGAAAAAAAAAACACCTGTAAAGCTAGAAAGGAAAAAAAAATACAGACAATACACAAGAGTCTCATTTCAGCATCAGCAGATGGAAGAATGAGGTGACAGTGTGGAGGGGAGATTAAGTGAGCTGGCAGAGACTTCAGCCAAGTATTCTGGTCAAAGGATTGTCAAAGAAGTGGCATGTGATGTTATTTGATGCTGCCGAGTGTGTAGGCATACCTGTCAGCGCCAACAGATCAAAGGGAAAATAGAGCGGGATGTGAATGGAGCCGTGGCACTTTGAAGTGCGGCAAAACTTTGCATATAGCGAAACAATAAACCTCTACAGAGCTGGAACTCGCATTCAAAAAGGAGGTCAGACATGTTGGAGTCAGTGGCGGCAAGGACAAACGAAAACATATATACCTTTAGAGACGCATAAGATATTCACGCTCGATCAAAAGGAGCCCAAGGACCGATCGCTGCGCGGGAATGAATAAAGAGCTCCGGGAAAGAGGCCATTATGAGGTTTCTTGTGGCGTTCAAGGTCACAAATAAAAAAGTTACATGAATACATTTTTCTGTTTTTTGGTTGTGTGAGACAAATGTTCCGTCGCTGATGCTTCAGGCAGTACACTCAGAATTCACCGAGTACAATTAAAACTATTTATTTGGGCTCATTCCAGAGAAGCTCTGTTTCTGACTGCCAGACAGATTCTCTTAAGCAGAAGAACACTGATGGCTGGTGAAAGTTTGTGACAGGCACAAATGTGAAGAGCGTAAAGACCAAACCGATTTAGCAGTTTTGACTAACCCTCCCCCCCCTTTCGAAATGAAAGTTGTGACACATGGGGAAATAAGCTGATCTGCTTTCTTGATAAGAGTTAAGCCTTTTTTCGGAAACGGGATGCGTAACATCGTTGGCGTCATCAGTCTGTCAGACAGTCAGGCACATGGACGGTATGCTACGCCGGAAATAACAAACAATAGACCAGATCTAAATTAATAGCAGCTCATCAAACTGTCCAAATAACGAACAGCCTTGACTGACAGGTCTGTCCATGTGTGATATCAGAGAAGTTCCAGGACTGGTGTCACAAAAGACATAATTCAAGCTACGACTTTCACCCTTCAGACGATCAACCAGCACGTCTACAAAGAGATCCTGTGGCGTTTGCAGGACCAGTGGAGGCTGCTTCACCATGACAACGCCCTCAGCATCCCACAGCTCCTGACTGAGAAGAACATCTCCGTGCTGGAGCAACCTCCCTACTCACCCCACCTGGCTCCGTGGGGTTGTTTCCTCTTCCCCAAGCTCAAGAGGGTCATCAAGGGGACCCGTTTAGAAGACGACATCAAGATGGCTGAAGAATCCTTCCAGGAGCACATGGCGGTGTGGCAGAGAAGGCTGGGGAGGTGGGTTAGACTCCAGGGGGATCACTATCGAAGGGGAGAACTGGTAGATTGTGACACCAGTCCTGGAACTTTCTGACACACCTCAAACTTTACAAACAGTACAACAAATATGTCAACCTCAGGACGGCTGCTACGTTACAAAGGATTTAACTGCAGCTAATTAACTGTGATTCTGTCCAAAGTGAAGAAAAGCTCATAGTGTGAGCTGCTGTTGGATCCTAACTTGGACCGATCCTGTTTGCATGTCGGGGGATTATTTAGATTTGATTAAGTATTTATTTAAGTAACTGTTGTGTTGTTTCATGTGCATTAATGCATGTCGTTCACATGGATCCCAGTACGTTCTGATGCTGCAGGTAATTCACAAATACAGAGGAACAACTTCTACAAACAGCTGGAGGCAACAAAGTAAAGTTGAGCTTCTGTTAATATTTTCTCAAAGGAAAACAATGCATTACATTCAGTGTTGTTTTTATCGCAGTAATCTTTTTAGGGACATTTCCGTTTGTAGCTTAATTGTCGAGCATCGTGATAAAGAAAGGTGTTTTGTACCTCCTGTCTTTTGTCCTCCTTGTGCTGCTTTTGGACCCACATTGGTCCTGAAATCTTGAAAAGGCCTTTCACCAAATCGTCCTGCACAGCTGGAAGCACCACTACTAGTGCATGTCTATTTGTTAATGTGACTGGGTGCAGTTCGGACTTGTTGGACGTGAATGTGACTCGTCCTGACCCGGTAAGATCGCCGCTGCAGTTTTTAACGGAGCAGTTACCAACGAGCTCATTCGAACAGAAAGCCGATTGATATTCAGATGCCATCAGATTAATGAAGAGGAGTGCATGTCTGAGAGGGGCTTTAGATGAAAAGATGAAGCTTTTTTTTCATTATGAACTAGTGGCATGCTAATTTAGATTAGCATAAAGAGAGGAAATTGGAGGCAACTAGCTACTCTGGCCAAAAAAAAAAAAGGTTTAGTGCATAAGTATCCTTTGCAGCTTTTACTCTTTTGCACAGATAAAAAACATACAATGTGCTGGTAAGTGGGTTTTGTTGCCTTTAGATAGACCCAGGACGGCTGCTTCCCGCCGTTTTCAGCTCGTCTAAAATGTCAAACTAGTCCGCTAACAACCTCCATAGAGGTTCTGATCTATTATACAATAAGGCAAAACCAGAAGAAAGTAATTCTGCCCGAGCAGGTCGTGTATGTCTTTGGTAAATAAACCTGAAAGCATGCCAAAATTAACTCGTTCCAGATGTCTGCAGCGCTTAGGGCGGACACAGATCTACAGTGTCTCTCCTAGGAATTGTAAAAATAACATAATGTATGAAAACGTCTGAAATATCCACTTAATTTCTCCAATATGGGTCTCGTCTTGCTTCGTTCTCCTGTAAATAAAACGGACTCAGACAGCTTTATAACGGATTCACTGAATTTACAGTGCACGTGAGAGCCAAGTGCGGAAAGACAGAAAGGGTTAATGCCCCTATTTCCTGGAAATCCATCTATTAGGGGGGACTTTAAACCCCTGGGCATATCATCGCTGCAAAGCACAGTGGTTGGAGTGTGTCTATGTGTGTGTGTGTATGTGTTGTGTGTGTTGTGTGTGTTGTGTGTGCGTCTTGCATGTGTGTATGCGTCCCCCCCGGCGGAGGCTCATACAAGAGACACGACTTGGAATATCTCTACTTCCTAATCTCCACTTCTGAACGTGCAAGCGCTTAAGCCTGGATAACGTAGCCGTGATTATGGATGATTACGGATATGTGGGTCGGGCGGACGGCGGGTGGTGTTGTGTCTGTGTGGGCGGGAGGGAGGGATGGAGGGATGGAGGGATGGAGGGAGGGTTGCTGGGCAGAGGTGGCTGCCGGTTTGTGCGACCAGCATCTTCATCAGGCAGAGCCGATACGATCAAGTGGTGCGCATGAGGAAAAATCAGCTGAGAAATTAATATTCACATACTGTTAATCTAAAGGCAGCACAAGAGCAGAACTTTGATGTATTTAACGCCACCGTTTGTCTTATATTTGAACCACATCAAAGCTATTTGTGCAGAATCGAGGTGGGGCCAGAAGTCAGTGTTGTGTTTTTTGGGGGGGGGAGGGTGTTTTTTTAATTTAGTTTTTTAATAGAGTTCATAGTTGACAATCTAGCTGAATTAAAACGGGATGAGATAAACAAATATCCTCAGATGAAAAGTGAGGTTACAGATTGAGATCGTGCATGTTTTGCTTCCGTAGAGCTACGAACTCTTTATTTTTCTATTATTTCTTTCGTTCTGCACCTGTTTAGTCATTTCTTTCTTTCTGTATAAAGCATTATATGTACAAGGTATGTGCTTTTTTTCCCCAATATATAAGGAACTGAGATCTAGAACAGAAACTAATTATATACCAGATATAAAAAGACCGACGGCAGGAGGAAGAAAAGACGAGTTCACATGAGGCGATGGAGTTTTCAGTGTTCTTATTCCTTCACTTGTTTAAAGCTCTGATCATATTCAGGGTATGATGCTCACAAAAACATGCATAATCCCAAAAACGTGTGACAAATACTGGTGTTATCATGATGCCAGTTCTATGTGGTAATACCATCACGGTTACTAATCACTGCATGGCATCTGCATTAAGATGGATAAGATGTAAACAAGCAACAACATCCTGGTTTCCGTCTGTCAGCATATGGGCCTCTCTATACCAGAATAGGGGCTTATCCACTTTCCTGAAATCAGAATATAATGTCTACATGGGCACACTTACCATCATAATCTGTGATTGTCACACTTCAAGCTGATTAAGATCAAATCATGTTAATGGTGTTTTGTGTCTGTGAAGGTGGTCAGTGAGTCTCTTAAGGATGCTATTGTTTCGTCAGAAGAACAGAAGAATCTCATTTATTCCGATGCAGATATCTGGAGAAGACACGGGGTTGTTCTCTCACCTCTGCCGAGGAAAAAAAAATGTACACTGCATGAAAATGAATGCAGCAACACATTGTCTTATGCAGACTGTGGGCAGTCAAGCACCCAGTCTGCTCACCGCTGAGCACAAGGCCGCAAATTATTACTTTTTTCAATTTGGCCCTGTTCTACAAAAGGTAAGGTTACATTGAATAAGATGTGTGTGGGGGGTGTTTTTTGTTCATCAATTTCCTTTATAGCTGCAGCAGAGATCACTGAGACAAAAACAGAGAGAGAGAGAGACGAAGATGCAGGTTTGTTTTCTCTGCGTGTAGCGTAAGTATGTGGGCTCATGCATGTATGCAGCGGACTGACCTCTTTGCAGTGATTGCGACCTTCCTGCTGCAGACAACAGAAACCGTGTTGGGCGTCGCTCCTCTGCCGGGCTCCACCAAGATGTCCCACAGTGCTGAGTCACTGGGCCGGGCAGCGCTGAACGACAGGCCCATCTTCACCGTCGCCCTGCAGTCAACACACAGCAGAGTGAGAGAAAATGTAAAATTAGGAGGAAAGAAAGTCTCTCGTAGCATGTCTCTTAATTTTTTTTTTTACAAGCAACAAAGGGTTTTATTCTGAAAAAGCAAAGATGCTCCGAACGCCGAACAGAAATGTTTAAAAATAGTTGCATCTGTGTGTTTTGTGTCTATAGCAACGCTGCAACAAATCCATTATGCTCGCCGTCTTTGTATCCATATACAAAAGGCATACAGTTGTGTAGGTGGGTGCTAGCTAATTGCCTGGGAAAGTGTGTTTTCTTTTGCACGTGTTGCGTCTGCATTGTCTGTTCGGTGGCTCACGTGGCGTCTAACGAGGTGAGCCATCGACAGACTGATGTGTCGCAGGCAGCTCGCAGACCGAGAATTAACAGGGGTATTTAATTCCCCATTAGCCCTGGGGAGAACTGGAAATCAGTTAATCAGATGTCCAATTCAGACACACACACACATAACTCTGTTAGGAGAGAGAGAGAGAGAACGCTCCTGGTGAATAATGCCAGACTAGTCCTGCAAACGCGAAAGGACGCAGAGCGGCTATTCCGAGTCGCGGGGCTTGAAAAGTGATACCGGAGGGGGGGAGAGACAAAAATGCTTCTGACCCACGTTTAAAGTGCAGCGATTCACTAATCTGCACTCACACAGACACGTAGCTACAGGGGTGGGAGCCTCGTGTGCTTCCAAAACGAGCCAATTTCCTCGTGGCAGGGATTCAGCGAGGTGCTGGCAACGTTCCACAGGGAATTCAGCCCATGATAGCTCAGGAGCATCACTTCCCGCTGATCTGCCAGCAGGAGGCTGATAGTGAGAATTTTGGAGGAAAAAAAAAAAAAAAAAGTAAAATGTTGTATCAGGTTCACACATTCACAGGTATTTTTGAAACCAGATTTTTTCCTTTCTTTGCATGTGGATGGAGAATTTCTTTCCGAGCAGATGCAAAAACACAACGATAGCGCTGATGAGAACCAAAGCAGCAGCTGTTGATTTAACTGGAACCCTAAAGCAAGAAAAAGCGAATACTGGTTTCAACAGACTACCAAGAATGGCACCATCAGGAATTATATGAGTGGACTGATCTGTTCTTCAGTATAGTGGAAGTTAAACTCTACATTTATGTGTAAACATATTAAAAAGAAAAGTCCAGTTAGCAAGGTTAGCATTAGAACTGCAACTATTCACTGATTAATCAATTAGCCGCCAACTATTACATGATCAACAACTATTTTGATTGATTTTAGGGGGGGAAAGTCAAAAATGCTCTGATCCAGCATCTTTAATCTGATTATTTTCTGATTTATTTACTCCTTTCTGACAGTAAACTGGATATCTTTGGGTTTTTAGACATTTGAGGACCTGATCTCAGGCTGTGTGAAAGGCTGACTGACATTTTTCAACACTTTCTGATATTTTACAGACCAAACAACTAATGGATTAATTGAGAAAATAATCAGCAAATTATGAAACAGCAAAAATGCTAAGTTAGCAATACTGGCTACAGATATATTAGCAATGCTAGCTTAGCATAGGCACTGTTCTGCCATTGCCAAAATTGCACCAAAAAAAATTTATCCCAAAAGCTTCCAAAAGCACAATTTTCAGGGACCTTGAACTGTGTCTGCATAGAAATAAAAGACCAAACTGCAAAGAAAAAGCTCCATTTGAAATAATACTTGCATATATGTGTGGTTTTGTGGTGCTATAAAGCTACACGTGATGCATTCGAAGCCTCCATCCAGACTGTGGTCATGACAGAATGCCTACTGATCATGTAAGCATCAAAATAAACACGTTCTAAATACCCATAAAGCTGCCTCACCTGTCTCATCTCTCTTTACATCCACCCCAGACGCAGACACACAAAGCTTCAGCGCTGATGAGAACACACGACTGCCGAAGACAACCTGCTGTTTTACAGCAAACGATCTGTTTTCTGCTTTAACAACCTGTTGTTTACCATTTGGGCCACGAGTCGGTCTTCAGATCGCTGAAGAACATTAAGATTGACAGATGGAAAGACAAACACGCACTCAGAATCTATTTGTGCTAGAAACAGGGTCAGTGTGCCGTTATGTCCACGACGGTCACACACATTCAGAAATGTTATTCACAGAGCAGCGAGATGAACCAATAACCAACGAGTTCAGGGTAAGAGCCTATTCAAAGACAGAACATAGTATATAAGAATAATGCAAGAAAACAAACTGCAATTGGTGTTTAAAGCAGACTGACGTGTTGATAGTTTACCCAACGCTGGATAAAGACGTATTTATGCAGAGATCAATTTCTGCATCAATCAGACTCTTATGCCAAAGGCAAAATCCCCACATTACATCTTCATTTACAACATTAGCGAATGTTTGAAATACAATAAATATCAATTCACGGCAGGCAGATCAGAATATAAATCAAAAAACAGAGACCTAGTTCTAATTTCTCCATAAATCTTAATTTTCTCGTTTCATTGCTGAAACAGAAGTGATAATTCCTCATTGCGACCGCAGCCGGGAACAAATTAACGGACCGCGTTTCAATTAAGATGTGAATTTTTCCAAACTTATTTTGCTGCTACATCCAATAAATCATGTTCTGGCTGCTTCTTCCAGCTCAGTGTCACAGTGACAACAGCACCTGATGACCAACCTTCCCAGGGGTGCAGAGCACTTCAGCTGACTCCTATTGAGTGTAGAGAAGCAGTAACTCAATGCCAGGATCTTGCTGGATCACTGAGCTTCTTGTCCGCAAGCAGACACGAGCGTCCCTGCAGAGAAACCTCATTTCGGCCACTTCTATCCTCGCTCTTTGTCTTTGTCAGTCACTGCCCAGAGTTCATGACCACAGGTGGGGAACAGAATGGATATCGACCTTTAAACTGAACAGCTCTTCACCGCTGCTTTACCAAACTCAGGCAGTCTCTTTGTTTAAAACTCAAAGCTGGAAAGTTCTCAACTCCATTATTCGCTTTTCAATAGCCGTCCGTGCATAACAAAATGAGTTTTTGCTGCCTGCGAACACGGAGTTTTGTGCTTCTCTCATATTTAATACATGTTGTTTACAAGCCGTCCGTGTGCTTAACAGGTGGGTATGGCCGCCCTGCACACACACACACACACACACACACACACACATACAGATTACACAGTTAATCCTGGCAGTCAGCCCAGATCATCTCCACCCTAAAGGGTTAACCTCTTGATTCATTTTCAATCAGGGCCACAGATTATCTGGCCTAACCCTGATGGAGTGGACTCAATCTTGGGCCAAAGAGCGAAGTAGAGCAGGGATTTCTCCCAGGAGGAATCAATCACTTTGCCAAGCTCCTCAGAGCTAGACTTCACTTGGACTTAACCGCTGCTCCCCGTCCCCTCTTCTTGCCCAATCTTATTCCGGATGTGGCAGCAGGTCAGAAATACAGAGGCTGAAATCACTGACCTGACTGAAGGAACTCCAGCGGTACGGTCAGCGAGTAAGAATTTGGGGAATTTCAGGTGAGGAGGCTGTAAATCCTAACAAATAGTCCAAAAAAAAAAAAACCCCAGTACCTGCAGATGTTAAAGGTTAGCGTCTGTCTGCCAAATCGTACTCACATAATTTCAACCACGCCAGCAGAGCTGCATTCAGGTCACTGGGACTCTGCGTTTGTGTGCAGACATGTTCGTGACGGGCAAATCAGGGTCATAGGGCAATTATTCGAGTCACAGACTTGAACCACGGAGACAAAGTGCTTCTGATACACGCCTGCGATGCGGCGATCCGCTAATCTGCGCTCACACAGACACCTAGCTACAGGGGCGGGAGCTTCATGTGCTTCCAAAACGTGCCAACTTCCTCGTGGCAAGGATTCAGCGAGGCGCTGGCAACCTTCCAGAGGGAATTCAGTCCACGCCAGCTCAAGAGCATCACTCAGCTCCTGCAGATTTGTCAGCAGGATACTCACAGCGAGAAAACAAGAGCCAATGTTAAGGGGTCAGCATTTCTCTAAACCAAATCTTTTTTCGTGTAATTTCAACAATGCATTCAGGCCGCCGTGGCTCTGCATGTGTGTCTATTTCTGTGAATGGTAAGTGTGACATTTGAGAGGAGATTTTTGACTGACAAACAGCCACAGATTTAACTACGCGCCCTCCCTATGGATTAATACACACATCTTAACCTCTCCCTCCATTTGCCGGCGGCAGATTACTGCACGGTCGGTATGTCGGTAGCATGATATCACTAAATCACGGGATTAGAGAGAAATTTGTCTTGCATTTCAAACAAAACCATTAAGCAGAGTAAAGACTGGAACCACAAACCTCTCTGCAACCGCTTTACCTTTTACTGATCTGAAGCCGTCTGATAAAACACAATTTGACTCCGCTCGCTGATGTGCATCAGGAGGCAGCAGGGGGAAAGTTGGAAAACAGATTGAACCGTGTGCTTCGGTGTGACGAGGCTGCTTTTATATTAAATTCACCTTTACCCAAAGGAACAAGGGAGATGTTAGTTGTTTGTTTGCTTGCTCCATTAAATAGATGCATTATTTATGAAGTCAAATAACCAGAGAACCTTGTTGAAACGTTAGTGGGACGTTGAGATATGAGAACCGGTGAATCATTTGCCAATTATTCCCCTGCTTATGGAAGAGCGCTCTCCATAACTCCCCCCAATAACTGAGAAGTTGAAGTAGACAGGATATAACATGTCAGTAATTTATGAAGCCGGGGAAACTGGCAGACAACACAAGTCATGTTGGCACTCAAGCATTTTACTGCACGGCCTTGATGGTGAGCCCCATCAGTATTCAAGTGCCTTAAGTAACCGTTTAAATGCATGGAGCTTATCCCTCATGAATACGCTTCAATATACTATACATCCCGACCATTCAACTCGGTGTCGGTGTCTTTTTATGCTTCACGCATTTCAGAGACAATTAATTTTTATATAATTCCTCCTAAACTCCGGTCCGCGGCGCGCCGGGCGACACAGCCCAACGATTACAGTGTTTTGATTTCTTGGAATGGCGCCTTCATCTAAACACCTTAAAGACACACACACAGAAAAAATAAAAAGAAAACTCTGGGCAGCTTTTATACAGCCACATTCCTTGAATATTTAAGGTCTCTGCTTTGGTCTCAGCTATACAAAAGATTATTTTTCGGCCTTGGATGATGGAGGAAAAAAGTGCAAATGGCATGTTTACTTGTCAACAAGCCAGACGATCGCCATCTCAGCTCGCAATTTGCTTATGAAGGACGAATTGCAAGTTGAGTTCTCCTCAAGGACTACAGACTTGACTTCGGAACTGCACTGACAGATATGAGACTTTAGCAAGACTTATCTTGAATTGCAGGAGACTTGGCCTGGACCCTAGAGGACCCCGAAACGCTTTATCACAGACCAGAGTAAACTTGAACGCCAGCGGATGGGTCGGTATCCAACATTTGCTGAAGAAAATGCGTGTAAATTCAAACCGATGAGCAACTACCACATGTATACTCCATAAAGAACTTTCTATGATTTAGTAACGTGGCGGTCTTCTGGCTCGGATGTTTTGGGAAACGTATATATTTTTGTCAAGAGTTGGATGAAAAAATTGAGACCACTCTTATGTGCAGTAGTGTAAAGTCTGGAAACATGGGAAACAGGCCTAACATAACACGCTATAATTGATTACTTTAATCTATGCACAAGTTGTTTTACAGTTTTATAGGCCGGTTGCGTGCCAAGAAAGTCTTGGCTTTGGGCCCACCATGACAGGCAACCAGCAAAGTCGGGAAGAAGTCACTGCTCAAGGCCACGAAATAGCTTAATGCACAGCTAGTGCTCGTCCAACCTGATGAAGAAACACACTGAGGATCTCTCACCTGATCGTGAAACCTTCCAAAGTAGACGTACTGGCCAGAAAGACATAAAACGTTGCCACGTCAGCGGTCTTCAGGGGCTTCGAAGAAGTCTGGATCACCACAGCACCTCCCAGCCTCAGCCGAAGGAACGTCGGGTTCCCTGGTGGAGTTTTGAGCAGACTCACGCTTCCTATCCGCCTCATCGGCGTCCCTGATCCCCCAGAGTCTCTTCCTCTCCCCACTCCTACCCGCTGCAGGCTGTCCTGTGGGGTGCACTGCCCTGTCTGGTCCCTCCGACTCTGGAAGTAGACCTCCACGACGTTCCCCTGAAGCCCCTTAACTCCTTCGTTTCTTTCCGCTTCCCTGCTAGAGCTTCCTGATCGGCTGGCTGAACTGAACCAAGTGGGCTCCGGCTTCAGCTGCGCCACACAGAATCCACCTGGAGGCACCAGGCAAGCTCCGCGGACTTCCCTCGTCTCCCAGAAGGCATAAGCCGTCACGCAGTGAGCTCCGTCCTTGGCCTTAGCGCCACCATTTTTCCTGCCAGCATCTCCTCTCGAGCCCGTCGTGTCTTGCCCAACGGTGATGTTACCCTCTGAGGGCATGTGGAAGAGAATCTTGACAGCAGGAGATGAGGAACGAACCTGGCGGCCCAAAATGACTGGCAGGATCCTGCGACCGCTGAGGAGCAGGTCTGGAGAAATGGAAGCATCTACAGCCAGAGGGCCATACGAAGCGTTGACAGCCGGCTGGAGGAGGCCGGCACCTAAACCCGTGATGAGAAAACTCTGGGTTTTCAGGCTGGCGTTCCCCGACGGCTCCGGGCTGTCCTGTCTCAAGAACACGTGGTCCACATTGAGGACCTGAAAGTTGACAGTTGGATAAACTGGAGATGGAGCGGAGGATGTCTTTGTGTCTTCAGGAGCTTTCTGGCTGTCAGCAACTAGGAGAAGAGAATTTACAAAGAGTAATTAATACACAGACTTTACAGCGTTAACTCAGAATTTCAGTGATAGGTGTCAAATCTGTCACTTACAAAGTCAATCAGCTACTTTAGCAGCAAACATTTGATGAGGATGGCAGAAGGATGAAGGGTTGAAAAAGGGATCAAGGCTGCAGAAACAAAGGGTCCATGACAGTGGGGGGAGTTGGGCGCCAAAAGGATGGATCAGAACGCTGATGAGGGCAGTTGGCTGTCTTGAGGGAACCAGAGAAACTCGTGGTAAAGGAAATGACTTTATATAATGAATGTGGTTCATTTCCCAATGTGGTTCCTGCACTGAACAGAGGAGAGCAAAGGAAAACAGACGTGGGCTTTTCAGGACAGTTTTATTCTCAGTGCATTTTCACTCACACAGCCTTTCATGCTGCTGCTGCATAAACCCTTGCATTTGGTGCCCCCAAAAGCTGAATAGACTATTCACATTTCCCAAAGCAAACCGCTGAATTCTGCAGCAATGGCACTCATTTTAGCTGGAACAGTGCAGAAAGGGCCACGGCGTACAGTAGAGTTTCTACTGCGTACAATGTAAGCAGATGGTAACAATTATGGTCAATCTACACGTCCCCAATGCAATGTTCAGCCAGATGAACTACATGCTCGCACAGACGTTTGGCCACTACTGTTAAATGGCTCTATGTAGAGGGAGTTACACACATCAATACTGTTTTAAGCACTAAAAAGCCCAAATATCCCACTAAGCAAATACCACTTAGGTGCACCTCGGGCCTCTGTTACATTTGTCCTTCAACAGAAATTCTATGTCTATGCGATGCAATAACGGGAAAGCAAAAGTGCTCTCTCATAACTTCTGTGGGAAGACTGTTTGTCCCAATAGGATGCTGTATGTGACAGATTCCACTTTCTGCTGCCAGACACTTGCCATGCCCCATATTGAAGTGCTCCAGAATTAATGTGCGAATACGACTTTTCCTCAGCTCACAGAAATAACTTATCTAAAGGCAGAAACCTTTGCCAAGGCAAAAACTCCTTTTTTTTCCCCCCCAAAGGTCTTTGAAGCGATATATCATTCTTCTCCGATTTCAAAACCATATTTCACGAATACATCTATATGTAAATACGATTTCTACCTGAATGCAACTGAAAATCTGCACAGATGTCAGAGTTGATATTAAACGTGTAGCACCGGGAAAGAAAAACCCAGAGGAGGAGTGTCTCGTAGATTCCAGTGATCGCACTAATGATGTTAGGTGTTTCACATAAAGGCCGAGCTGTGTACATTTCTTATGGATATCTGCAGATTTAAGGCAAGCCAAAGGTAGAACAAAACCGCAAAGGCGATCCAGTTGCGCATCAACGTTTATTCGCTGCTGTAAATCTGCCTACTCGGAGCTAATTAGTCTAATTAGCTTAAATTAACTGAAATTTTATTGTGCTCTTATCATCTCCAGCGTGGAGCCTGCCGTTATCGCTGTTGTTACTGAAGCTTGTCTACCAACAGACCTTTTAAAATCCATGAACGGATTTCAATTACATTTTGTGCAACAGATAGCTCTGAGACAAAGCTCGGCTAATTAGATTTTGGTGACGATCCAGATCTTGGATTGGCTAAGTAAAAACATAATAACGAAGGGACTCGATTCCAAATCCTTCCCAGTTCTTCGCGGCAGAATGAAAAATGTGTTTGGGTGAGAAAAAGCTTCATAAATGTCGGCTTTAGGTTTAAGTTAGGGGAATTATTTGTAGCCGGCAGATGTTTGCGCTCTCTAGTTTAAGTGCCTTCTAATTTGTTTTATCGTCATTACTCTATTCTGAAAAGCAGGAGAGGTGAATGCAGAAATACAGAACATTTTGTTGACTGTTCTGTACTGTGACATGACTGTAAATCCATCGCCTATAAATATATCCAAAAACATCAACATGATAAAATACTGCAGGTCAGAGCAAATAATGGAATGAAGAAAGCACAAGGACGAAAATAATCCTCGGCATCTGTTAGTCGTCGCCTTTGATCTGAAGCTCAAAATAATTCCACTGCTAATGAACGCTGCTGGAAATCAGTGACTGTATAATGTATTGATCGGGTATTAATTCGGAGAGCTTTGGCTGGAAGTATCTCAGAGATCTTAACCGGTGACATTACAGAAATATTAACAATCTTGCATATTTTCTTGATTGTAAATGGTAAAAAAACTCATACAGGCTCGCAGACACATTAGGCAGCACGTGTAGGACTGGACTAAAAGATAAGAAGGTCATGCATATTCATGGTTTTCATAGGGGGGGAAAGATATCAAAAAGCTGAGCTCTATCACTTAAACACGCAGCGAGAGCCCAGCTGGGCCCTGCACTGGCAGCTATGCAGCAAGTCACATGTGTGTATGATGAAAAAAAAAAAACAACGCACACGCAGATATCATGTGTAGATACAGCATAAGCCCAGGCAATCTCAGAAAGTAGTCTTTTGCATGATATCGGTATCACAGAGAGGCAGACGGCTTACTGCGACTTCATAGCTCCCAATGCAGGTTATCTTTAAACAACCAGAGAAACAGCTGTGCAACCTCAGCTTCGGGCCTCTTTAATCCCACAGATGAAGCTTCCTGATGCACACTGGAGGGCATGCTGTCACTTTCATTTAGACAGAGGGATAACAAAACGGGTTGAGGCCATGGGCAGAAGCCACAAAACCCTCAAAAATAGGGAAAACAAAACCCTATATCCTGACATGAACCAGTCAGAAAAAAACACAGCATGGGTGATGGATTTCAGAAAAATTGTTTGTTTGTTTGTTTGTTTTTTTATGTTAAGGCTGCACAGGATTTTGGAGGGCCTGCTTTAAATTTGCACATAAGAGAGTACAGGAACAACAGTACTATTTAGTGCATGTTTAAAACTGCACCAGGATCATGCAAGAGGGGGTTAAAGAAGTCAATATATATATATAAAATCCACCAGAGCACTTGCAAAAAAATAATGTGTAAATACAGCTACTTCCAACCCTGGTGCCTCATGCGTAAAAGCTCTCCATCTACATGCGCCCTGCTCCAGCGTAAACCAAACTCTCCAACTCCACCAATGAATGAAAAGCAGACGCGTTTCCTCAAAAACTACTCTCAGATCTCACCTTTAACAGCTGTTAGAACCGCCGCTGCCACAACAGGAAGCAATGAACGCAGGGAAAAGTTGCGAATCATGTTGGTAAAGTTACAGGTGTCGGTCATCCACTTTGCGCTGAGCTCCAGTGCGCGCCGGGGTGAGCTTTGGTGACTGTGCGGTTGAAAGAAAACGCTGGAAACGAGTCATCACATTGCCCGGTGTCCTGGAAAGTTTAGTCCTCTGGGCTGTAGAGGATCAAACCAACGGTTGCTTCACTTCCTTATCCGCATAACGCGTCCTCTCGCTGCGCCAGAAATACTTTCAGACGTCGTGTCTTTCTTCTCCAAACGATGAGTTGGGTTTTTTTCTTTCTTTCCTCCGGGCGCACAGCTCTGGCTGACAGCGAACAGAAACAGCTCTTCTCATGATGGAAATCGGTAAACACGTGCCGTGGGTCAGATTAACCAAACCCACGTGGGTATAATCGTCGGTGGAGGGGAAGAGCTGCGAGCAAAATTAAATGCACACGAGGTCGGAGATCAGTGGTTTCTCCGTGACGCGTTTTAATGCTGATTTAACAATATGTTTTGGGCGATAAAGCGACTTTCACACCGATGTGATTCCTAACTTTTAAATGCTGTGTTCGTGATTATATTTAAAGTTGTAAGAAATTGGCAGAGGTTCACATTACATTCAGGCGGCCTTTGTATTGCTGGTGACACACTTGACTGGGGGTTTTAAGGAGAAAAAAAAAAGAAAAAGTTTAGTGCCAGCTGTCAGCTGTATATTCTCAGTCCACAGTCACCTGGGATCAGACTTGGTGCGTAGGATGGAGCAGATGGATGCAGCCACAAAAGTCGTGCAGTGTCACAGCACATATACATTTGGCACAAAGCATCAGCAGACTCTCATAAACTTGGTCTTGTACAAGCACTGCTGTACTACATATATTTAGATTATTTTATACGTGTCCACACATACATAATTGAGATCAGAGGATTCAGAATCAAATAAAATACAAATTTCTTTCTTTCGTTGCTCCAGCAGTCGCTCAGGTCACATGTAGTTCCTCTGCACTCTGGATAATTCTATATTTTTTTCTCTCTTTTTTTGTGTAACACTTCATCTGCCTTGACCTAAAATTCCACACACTCATTATAATGAGGCGCACCGAGCACCAGTGTGAGTTCAAAGCCTGAACTGAAATAGCATGGTGTCTTGTTGCACTGTGTCCTACAACCGGGGAGCTGATAATATGAGCAGTTTTGTGTCCAAGACCGAGCCAAGGGAGGTGATGCAGTTTAAGAACTGTGGAGTCCAGACACTGATTCTGCGAAGAGACATCGAGCTAAGTGCTGACATCAGATTAATGGTAAAGAACACCTGGGTTTAATGAGCTTGGTCAGACTTTTCCTCACTTCTCCGCTCTCCAGCATCCCCCTAAATACTTGTTCTCTGACATTGTGTCTCGACTAAACCCACTTCGTTCAGGGCCTCGATGCCTCAGTGGCTGTTTTATTGCAGGATGGCACCGGTGCCAGGGTGACAGCATTAAGCATGCAGGCATCACTGATGAATAAACAGTTCCCCACTTGACAGCAGAGGCTGATTAAAATAAATATGTGCCTCGGAGAGACATTTAAGAATCTCTAAATGCCAATAAAACTTTGAAGAACTAACAGAGTCCGTATTATCTCGTGAGATTAACTTGATTTTGCTGTACACACACTGCAGCGGTATTTACAGTGCCAGGGTATTACATGCGATGCATTTTAAAGCCACAGAGTTTTAATTTGAGCAGTTTGTCTGCGTTTTTGGCTGGATGTGATTATTAAAGCTGACAGTGGCAGAGGCCACAGACTATTGAGTCTGGGAACGTCTCCAGATCTCAGTTGTTGTTCCAGACATGCAACCTGCTGCTGGCGCTATTAGAGATGACCGAGCGGTGGTCGGATTCGACATTTCTGACTCCGACGCTGGATGGAAAGCTGCTGCCAGGTGGCCCAAAGGTCGTCGGAGATCAGTCGATGTGGAGCAACGCGGGCCACGACCCGAATTCCTCTAATTATTTATTAGAATTAATTTAAAATAGGAAGCTGTGCCTCACTGAACTGTCAAAACAGATAACTAGTAAGAAAAATTACCTCGGCGACTCCTGGAGGAGCCAAAGCCTATAGATTCAGATAATAGTTTTGGCCACAGTAATGTTTGACATTCAGCAAATAATGTGATGAATTCTGTGTTCAGTGCTGCACTGTTTAACAAAAAAATAAAGTAATATTCCGGCAGCTGAAGCACCACAAAATAGTGTAAAATAACAGAAAATAACCATCTCATAAAAAAAACAGTCTTTTTCAGCCTGGTGTAATAAAACAGGCACATTTTTAACACGTAACTTGGTGTGTTACTGGAATACTTTTTTGTTTTTCATTTAGCATTTCACCTCATGTGATATAGTTAAAGAAGTGACTACAAATATATTCACAGCATAAAACTTGAATTTAACATTTTCTATAAATAAATAAGGGGGGGATGCATAACTAAAATAAATTTACAAATGTGCTATAATTTTCTTTTGATGTTAAAAATATTAAAAATGTGATATTTTATGGCTGTTCAGAAGTTACAGATTTTAAAGTTATTTTACATTTAACATGCAAATTTACGATCTATGTTTGTAATCTTACTAATATATGCAAAAAAAAATAATTGTGTACAAGCACATGTGTTTTTTACCGTGTGACTGGCATCCATTCAGCACACTAAACTCAGAAGGTGAACGACATGAACATCATCAGTATTTGAGCGCCGTCACCGTGAGCCTGTCGGCATCCATCCTTTGCAAATGGTGCAAATTGAAAGCACAGTTTGACATCGATTTGAAATACTTATCCATATTATGGCTGATATAGGGTTACAAAAAATAAATTATATGTTTGCAAGTAATCACACACTCTGTGTGTGTTCATCTCTCATCAGCTTGCTTTCTCTGTCTCACTCACCCACATCTCTGACACCAGCGGCTGAATTCGGCTAAAGCCACCGTGGGCTAATTTTATATCCAACAATTTTGTTACATGATGATCGCATGATGGCAAAAAAAGTCAATTCTGCACAGTGGTTTCTTGCTCCCCGCCTGATTAAGAGGGTCTTGGGTATGTGTATGTGAAGCTAGATGTTAAAATTACAATATAATTATGCAACAAATGAAAACTGGGGGGGAAAAGTAAATTTGACAGGTGGGAAAACAATTTACATCTTAATGCTGCTCAGGAGAAGTTGACTTCAAAACGACAAAACTGTAAAAAAAAAAAACAAACAAACAACTAAGCAATACTGGCACAACCGTAAGTCACCTGCCAGCTATTGCCTCGGTCCATCTTGTTCCAAGTAAACAGTCTTGTTTGAATTCTCCCGGCTTTCCTTTACCCTCAACTCAACCAGTTGAGGCAGACATCCACTCTCGCTGAGCCTGGTTCTGCTGGAGGTCTCTTCCAGGGAATCTTTGGATTAGTTGGGTTTCTCTCTGTAGTATAACTCTGTAAGGTGTCGTTAGATAACTTGTGTTATAAATGGGTGGCGGCTGTGGCTCAGGTGGTAGAACGGGTTGGTGAGGTTGGTGGTTCGATCCCCCGCCCTTCCACAGTCGAAGTGTCCTTGGGCAAGACACTGAACCCGAAGTACCAGTGGCAGCCATTGGTGTATGAATGTGTGTGTGAATGAGAAACACATTGTAAAGTGCTTTGCGTACGATAAAGTACTACATAAGTGCAGACCATTTACCATTTACCATTTAATGGACTCTAGATCTGACTCGTTCCCTCAATCGGATTGAGGTCTTGGGAGTTTGGTTCAACATGTTTGGCTCTTGGTCGTGTTCCTCGAGCCTCATTGTCCCGCCGGGGGGGAGGCTGCCATCATTAGGGAGCGCTGTTGCCATAGATCAGGGGTCTCCAATCCTGGTCCTCGAGAGCCACAGTCCTGCATGTTTTAGATGTTTCCTTCTTCCAACACACCGGATTCAAATGATCGGATCATTATCAAGCTCTGCAGAAGCCTGATAACGATCCTGATCATTTGAATCAGGTGTGTTGGAAGAGGGAAACATCTAAAACATGCAGGACTGTGGATTGGTGACCCCTGCCATAGAAGCTACGCAACATCCACTTAAAAGTCAGGTTCCAGAGCGTTGCATTGTAATGAGATGACCCGTGTTACTCACTTGGTCTGTCAGTGGCTGATCGATGTGCATTGAACTGGGACAGGTTATATCAGGGTTGACCTGACGAACCTTTCACCTGGAAGCCGGCGTCCGGATTAACGGCGACCGGCTTGTGGCTCGTCTGCACTCAGCGAGGTCGTCGTATGATTAGTAGATCTATTAACCTTTGCTGACAGTAATCCAGCTCAGTGATGGATAGTGAACTACTGCAATGTTCCATCTTAATAATTCCTTAATACCTCTTATTACTCCCCATCAGGCAGACGCTGATTAAATTAATTTTTCGTCAATCCATCAGGCAACGATGGGATCAGCTCGGTTCCATCCTGTTGACGCCGCGTCTGAGTGACAGGGATCACATGAATAAACTAATAACAGGAAAAGTGGCTCAAGAGCACCCAAGTCAATTGAAGCCATAAGCATTTATGAAGCCCTCTGAGTGGAAATCATTGCAAACTGCTCCTGTATTCTCTCTTCTAATCTCCGGGGAGTGCTGGAGTCTAGTCTCTGAACATAAAGCTGTCGTTACACCTGTGTAATAATACTTAGCACTGTAGCCGGCCAGAGAGAAGCCAATCTTTTCAACACTCGACGCTCTGCAGCTCTGAGGGCTCTCGAGCCAAGGCGTACCCCGTTGATGTCTCCCACTCCAAACAGTCTCAGCCAAAGATGAATCACCGGGGCGAGCCGAGGCCCGTGCCCTGGCTCCTTCTTCCCTTCACTGACGTCAGCCCACGCTCTGACGAATGGATGCTCTTTTTTGGAGCCGTGCACATCGGTTCTCAACCCCTGTGGGAAGCCTCCGGTGAGTTAGCAGCCAGGTGGTATATCCTCCCACCAGCAGCCTTCCCTCAGAGCGACGTGGCAGACAGGTAA